CGCTTCATGAAATATGTAACTGACACTTTAATCCTCTTAACTATGAATAGTCACGAAGAGAATTATTATTGAAGATGGTAAACTAATCCAAATTATAATATTCACCACAATGATAATTTAAAATAGGTGCAAGTTCGTGTTTAAATTTAGAATTGCGGTGTACAGTATTGCAGGTAGTTAGGCAACTAAGTCAACAAAATACCTTCTTACTATGTCGGGATCTTTTATAACCGGTGTGTGTGTGCTTCTTAAAAATGCAATGCCACCCGGTATTTCAAGACGAAAACGTGCGTTCGGGCCTTAACTAAAACAAACAAGTACCCGCCTGAGAGGTTGTTTCAAGTTCCGTCGTAAAACCCAAGCAAGAGGATATGAACCAAAAAAAAAAAATTTAGGTTCACACGCATTATATGAAAAAGACTACTTAGAACAGGAGGAAAGGAAGTTATAATTTTACTACTAAAGCACAGCTTTATGTTAATAATGCATTGAAAAATCAATCGAATATTTTTACTTTCGATTGTAGAAAATAGTCAAAAAGAATATTAGTTCACCACTTAAGAATGAGGTTCCCCAAACGATGTATTTTGGTACTGCCTATAATTTCCAGTCCTGTTTTTCCGGTAATTTTGACCCGCTCTATCGATTGGTAAAGTCAAAATTGAGCAAAACTGGAAAATGAAAAAATCGAGTTTTTTATACCCCCTTTAAATTCTGATTTTAAAATATTCATACCGCAAATGCTCGGTAACCGTTGAGCAAATTGCATTGAAATTTTTAGCTTTTGTAGCTCTTATTGACCTCTAAATGGCCTGTAACTTACAATATTTTCAGATTTATAGAGAATTTAATGCTCTTTTCAATGATATATGATTTATTTCAATTCGCTCGAAATTTAACAAAGATATGGGCAATGAAGGCAGAATTCTATTTAAATTATGAGAAATGTTAAAGAAATTATGCGAAATTATATTGTAATTATGTGAAATTTGATAGAAATTATGCGAAAATATATTGTAATTTCTTTTGGACTTTCCAGGTATGACATGGAATTCCATTTAATTTCAATAAAATAAGAAGGTATCTGAGAAATGACAATTCCAAAAAAAAAAAGTTTAAATTTTAGCAAAATTCCATAGAAATTATGCGGAATCCCCCAAAATTTACGCAGAATTCCATTGAAATTACATAGGGTTTCAAATAGGTATGCTAAATTCCATCAAAATTATGCGAAATTCAAGTGAAATTAGAGAAGTAATGACGTGGAATTCCAAAGAGAAAATAATTAATTTTGGAAAAATTACATGAAATTCTATAGAAATTATGCAAGATTCTATAAAAATTATGCGAAAATTCAGAGAAATTAAATGGAATGGAAAATGGCGTAGGTCAGTAGGCGTAATTTCATAAAAATTATGCAAAATTTCATAAAATTTATGCGAAATCCCGCAGAAACTAGGAGGAATTCCATTGAAATTATGCTCAATACCATAGAAATGATGCCTAATTTTATACAAAGTATGCAGAATTTCATTGAAAATATGCCAAGTCCCATTAAAATTATGCGGAATTCTAGTGAAATTAAATGGAAAGCGACAAAGAATTCCAAAAAAGCGTTGAGTTTCAAAAAAATCAAAATCCCATAAAAATTATGTGGATTTAATTCGTATAGATTTCCATAAAAATTACGCGAAATTTCATAGAAACTATGCAAAAGTACAAAGAATTTCTGCGGAATTCTAAAGAAAATATGCAATATTCTATAAAAACTATGCAAACTTCTACTGAAATTATGCGGAATTACGTGGAAATTATGCGGAATTTCATAAAAATTGTGTGCAATTAAATAAAATTCCAGGGATACGATGTAGAACTCCAAACAAAAATATGTGGAATTCCGGTAAAATTATGAAATTCTGATGAAATGCCAATAATTTTCCTCAAGTGCAGTTCCAAGTAATTTTTAAATATTTTAAATTATTCTCGTGAAATTCCAAAAAAAAATATGATAATATTTAAAATTCCTGTGAATTTCCGAGGAATTCCTGTGAAATTTCTTGTAATTACAGAAAATTATATGGATTTTTTTTAGAATTCCAGAGAATTTATATGAAATTCTGGTGTACATTTTTTTTTTAAATTTACTAAAAAAAAGAATTTTTCCAGTACATTTCAGAGACCTTTGACACCGTCGTTGCGGTTGCGCTGAATTTTACCTTATACTTCAAAATTCAGGCAAATTTTTATTAATCAATTAATAATAATTATTGAAATTTGAAATACCTTATAAGTAATAAGCTACTAACAACTTACTCAAATATCAAAAATCTTGTGAAATTATTTGGGATTTCAGTGGAATTCCGATGAAATTGCATTAATTTTCCTGGAATTCCAGAAAATTTCTGTAAAAATTACATGAAATTCTCGTGATATTTTAAATAATTCTAGTGAAATTATTTGTAAAATTATATTTCGAAAAAGTTCTAATGAAATTCCATCTATTTTCCGGAAATTCCACGTAATTCCCTCGGAATTCCAAGTTATTCTCGTAAAATTCCAAAAAATTTCCGTAAAAATTACATTAAATTTTCATCTAACTTTAAAAAATTCTTGTGAAATTATTTAGAATTAAGCGGAATTACGTGGGATTCCGGTAAAATTATGTGATAAGAATTACGATGAAATTTTCCGACTATTCGACTCAATGCCTCCGGAATTTTAAGTTATTCTCGTGAAATTCCAGAAAATTCCCATGAAATTCCAAAATATTTAGGTAAAATTACGTGGAATTTCCGTTAAATTTCTAAAAAAAATCCTGTAGAATTACATGAAATCCTTGTAAAATTCAAAAAAAAAAAAAAATCCCTAAAGCTACTGATAATTTCAGTGGAATTTTGAAGAATTTCTATGGTATCACTTGGAATTCTCGTGAAATTGAAAGAAAAAATTGCATAAAATTTTTGTGAAATTACTTAAATTTTTTATTGAATTCCCAAGAATTCTCGTGAAATTAGGTACATGGAATTTCCGCGGAATAACTCAAAATTTAAGTGAAATAATATGAAATACTCGTGAAATTCCGAAAAGTTCTTGTACTTAATACTTTAGCAATATTCCTGTGGAGTAAATCGGAACTTTGGTGGAATTAAAAAAAAAAATGTGAAGTTTCAGAAAATTTCTTCAAATCTGTTTGGAATTTTCGTGGAATTTAAAAAAAAATTCTTTCTACAAAATAACTAGAAATTCCAAAAAATTCTTCTGAAATTTCTTAGGTAATTTTACAAAATTACTTGAACTTCTGAAATTATTTGGAATTCTAGCAAAATTTGAAAAAAATCCTGTTAAGTAAATCAAAATTCTCGTGAAATTCCAAAAAATTCACAAGAAACTACTTAAAAAATCGTATAAATAATTAGGAAATTCAAAAAAAAAAAAAAACGTGAAAGTATGTATTTTTTAAATTTCAGCAAAATTCCAAGGAATTTTTATGAAATAACTCAGAGTTTCAGTGAAATTTACGTGAAATGACCAGAACTATCAAAAAGTAATTTGTGAAATTACATGGAATTCTAGAAAATTCCTGTGAAAATACAGAAAATTTCTTTGAAACTAATTGGATTTTTAGTGGAATTCCTTAGAATTTTCAGGGAATTCTGGTGTGCAACTTATCAACATTCTATGAACATTCCTGTAACATTCTATAATAAGAATTTCAGTGAAATTTTGGAAAATTCTTGTAACATTACACGAAATTCTCATGAAATATCAGAAGAATTGCAATTATTAGTTTTACCCCCTTAAACCACCTCCGAAGTAATTTGCAAGTCAAAAGAAAATTCAACGAACATCCCGTAACGCTTTGTATTATATTAGAAAAGTCTTTAAATTTAATAATATTACCAATGATTAATTAATCCGTTAAGTCAACCAAAACACAAACACACAGATGGCTTGATTACATATTTAAAAATAGATTATTCGACACTCGATATAAGAAGAGAATCTCCCACTAAGAAATTTGTCAGTGGAGGCATTTTAGTATATTAAGAACTGCACCCATATGGTGCTCGTTTTTCTTAATTACGCCACCTTTCAGGGAGTCATTCCACAAATTTGTCTAATAATAAATTATTGACAACGTTTGAGATTTCCCAGTGGACTAAACCGTTCAAGTCAATCCAAAATGCATTCGTTAGTTAAAACCCTATGAAAAATGCATATACTTTTGAATTATTGTGTGCAGGCGAAAATCTAATTTGGTTCGAACAGACAGCAAAAATGGATTTTCTATTTCGGAAACGAATTTCGTGTCTGTCGGATACAATTTAAAAAAAAAACACCAGAGCAAAGCAATATTGCCGGTTTGAAATTCAATTTACTCTCGCGCTTTGCTGCCCCGACAGTTTTGTTGGTTAATTTTATCGTTCGAAGCTTAATACTCTTTACAATTGGGGCGGCGCACTATTAACTTTGGCGATAATACCTTAATAACACGAGCGGTCAGCAACTTTTATTGTGAAGTATAAATTGTACTGAATGGACATAATGAATACAATGTTTAAACCATGTCATCAGACCTAAAAACTCTTTATAATAAAGGTTGTGATTTACTGATATGCATCGTTTAACTAGACGATTTTCACTTTCTTTCCTATATTCCAATATATCCAATATACCAGCATTGCACCGTGGTACATTCTCTTCTGCAGCAAATTTCTGCACGAAACGGTCTGGTCTGACTGGCCGGCGTCCTCGTGTGATCGGCCTGATGCAAGGTGAAGCGCCCCTGACCCGGCAGGCAGCAGGTTGAAGGGCGTTTCTGCTGCTTTGTCTGTCGCAGACGTCGACGTGCCGATTCTTCTTCTCTCCTCTCGATCGTATTAATTATATCCTCAAACCCATCGGCCGAAGGATTTTATCTCTCCTTTTAGTTAGGCCAAGCGGCCCGACTTCGATATACGTGCATAACAAAACTAATTCCCATGTTCTCTTTGTTTCAGGCTGCAAAATCAAGGCTCTGCGTGCGAAAACAAACACATACATCAAGACGCCAGTAAGAGGTGAGGAACCCGTTTTCGTGGTAACTGGACGCAAAGAGGATGTCGCTAAAGCCAAGAGGGAAATTTTGAGCGCTGCCGAACATTTTTCGCAGATCAGAGCTTCTCGCAAGAACAATCTTGCTGGACTAGGCTCAGGTGCCAGTACTCCTCCGGGACCACCAGCTAACATTCCTGGTCACGTTACTATCCAAGTGCGAGTACCTTACAGAGTTGTAGGTTTGGTTGTTGGACCTAAAGGCGCTACAATCAAACGTATCCAGCATCAGACTCATACTTACATTGTAACTCCCAGCCGCGACAAGGAACCAGTCTTCGAAGTTACTGGCATGCCTGAAAATGTCGAATCAGCTAGAAGAGAAATCGAAGCTCATATTGCTATGCGTACTGGCAACAGTTCGGCCATGAATGGTATGCCAGCTTTAGGAGGGCTCGAAGACAACGAAATTTTCGCATCACTATGCAAAAATGGATTAAGCTCTATCTTAAACTACATGGAACCCACACAGGATCCATTTCCTGTAATGACATCGTCCACTGGAAGCAGCGGTGCTTTTTCTAGCTCCGGCTCCTGCTCGAGCAGCTCTTCAAGTATTGGCGGCAGAGATTTGGGTACCATCTGGGGTTCACAAGACAGAGACGAGGGTCTAGGTGATTCTCCTAGCTTCGATACATCTACAGCTCTCTCAAGCATCTGGTCTTACCCAACAGTATCAGTACCATCAAGGCCCAGCCCAACTAACAGCACCAGCCCAGCAGATTCTTTGTTGTCATCCAGCACGAAATGTTTGGTATGCAACGATAGCAAAGTGACGCACGCTTTGGTACCATGCGGTCACAATTTCTTCTGTATGGATTGCGCCAACAGGGTATGTGAAGGCAGCGAAGCTCAATGTCCAGTATGCTCTCTACCAGCGATTCAAGCGATCCGCATCTTCTCGCCCAATCCTTAAGCAGTGAATCACGTTTGATGATTGATCTCGCTCGAATCCTCCGTTTGTCCAAAAAAGACCTACGGGTAAGAAGTAGCTTGTAGTAGCGGATTGTACATCAGTATTATTTTTATACCAGCTGCTTCTTACCTTTTTTTTTTTTGGTCTACACACCCATCACATTCCCCTGGGTCTCTATAATCCTGTGTTCAGCTTGACGGTTCGACTCTTAGCGCTATAAGGAAATCACATACAACGAATACTAAAAAAAAAATTGGGTTGTTATTTTTATTGTTAATTTTTTTCAAGAATTTTAGTTTTGTTTTGTTCTAGAGTGTTTTTTTTTTAGCTAAGCAGTCCGGACCCGTCCGAGCTTAGTCATCCTATGCCAGTTTTTCATATTTCCTTTTTTTTTAATTGTATTACCGGTTTTTATGTAGTATTAGAATTGTATCGTTTTTCTTGTTTTTGACAATGATTTTCTTAAAAGTACCTAATCATTTGTGCAATGAGTTTTGAATGATAGGATTAGTTTGGTTTTCTCAATTGGAGCTAATACTGCTAGCTACCATACGATTTTCAGCTGTTCAAAAGGAGTTCAAAAACTTCAAAGCCGATTAAGTTGCGTCACAATTATTTGGAAATAATTCCATCTAGAAATCAGTCTACAGCTTAATGAAAATGTTTCAATGTTTCACACATGATAACTTACCAGAAATAACGCAACTTGATGCTTTTTTTGAACATCCTCTTAAAGGCTGGAGAGCTACATAGTGAATAGCAGTCAAACAAATTACGTTCTAAACTCATTGTACGCAATTGTCACATACCCTATAAAAGACATAAAATTTGCGACACCATTATGATAATGTAAACTATTTTGAAAAAGTAAATTTTTATATTTAATAATACTACTCGGATATAAGTATTTCTCGTTATTTTTTAAAATATTATATTTTTTTAAGTTTCGCCATTATTGTGAACTCGGATCACACATTTTATAAAGTCTGAAACAGCAATTCTCAAAATATTGTTTAAGAAAATATTTAACATTAAAGTATAGCAAAAAAAAAAAATTAAAAAATATAATAATAATATATTAATTGATTGGAGTGAGATAAAATACATTAAAATAGATTTTTGTAGTGGAGAGAGAGAACGAGTTGGTTAATAAATGCAGTGAGATATGAGTGCATCTGAGAAATAATGAAAAAAAAATAAAAGCGGACACACTCAGCCTTCACAGGGCTTTTTGGCTGTGATCTTCAATTAAAATAAACTGCCATTACGAAGCGCATTTAAGTCCCTGTTCAGGACATCTTTGTCCTGTCCCAGCACCACCCCTAATAACAAAATACATATCCATTAATTGTTAGTTAAATCACTTATATTGTTAATAATATTGTTCTGTTATGGTGTGATGCATATAATATATTTTTAAGTCCAATGAATAAGTTTATTATAAATTTATATTTTAATTATTGTGTGCCAACAGGGTCCAGGATGCTTCCAATGGTACGTAGAATTTTTCTATAATAATTCATCAGTCGATCAATATTCAAAAATTTCCAGTAATTATTAAACAAGAAAAAATTAAAACGTCACGGTCCTGCGCTGGTGTGTCCGCAAATAAATTTTGATCCTTCAGTATTCACATTATCATCTCATTTCACAAAAACACCATTTAATTTAGATGCATGTTTGTTTGTATAGATTTTTTGTTATTTTTAAGACTTTTAATCAAACAGGGGATATTTGACCATAATTTAAACATTTTATTTTTATTAGAATTTTTTTCTTAGTTGGTTGGGGATAGAGTCAAGGAGTTCTATTGATTTAAAAATTTGCTGTTCATTATTATATAATGATTTGGCAAGGTTTTTTTCAAAGTTTCCTGAGTGGTCTACTTACAATGTTCTGTTTGATTTTTTGGTTTAACAATAGCAAATTTTTATCAAATTTATGTGAGGTTTATTATGACATAATTTTCGTATGCATTTCTCCTTACTGCACTTCGTAGACAATTTCTTTATACACTCCGTGGCTGACGCATCCTGTTTATTATGCGCTTATATATTACTTATTAATATATGTATTATCTATTATATATATTTAAATATTAAGAAGCTATATTTTGTTTTTATTTATTTTTTTATGTAGTATTTGAAAATTGTCGTTATTAGATAAATTATATATATTTTATTATTATTATTAATATTATTATTATTCTTGCTTGCGAGGTAGCGTCAGCCAGGGACAATATTTACTTAGAGAGCCCTGGATTTTGGGTACTCTATTTTAGCTTAAGTTGTTTAATACGTACACTGTATATAAGTTGTTGTTTTGTAGCATTAATATTATACTTATTATTTTATTTTTTTACATATTTTTGAGGAGATATTTAACTATGAATGTTAGTACAAGTTCATGTTCACAGTTTCGTGTGCAGAGTGACTATATGAATTAGATTTTTTTGATTAGTTATATTTTATATTTGATATTTTACTTATATAATAATATAAACTCTATCTCGAAGTAGTTCAACTTTTCTTTTCTAATTTTTATATTATTTTATTTTTGAATCTTGAATGTATAAGTGTGTTTTCTATTTAGAAATTTATAAATTAGACGATGATTGATTTTTTTTTTACACGTAGCGACTGAGGAAAAAAGTTTTCGTTTCTTTTTTTTTTTTGTTTGCTTGGAACAGCTCTTTTGGGCAGCTAAAGTGACAGAGCGTAGTGATTTTTTTTATACTATTTTGCTGCGTGAGCATGGCGTTCGATAAGACTCAACTATGTCCAGTACGCTTTAGGTGCCCTTACAGAAGACTATGGCAAATAATTTAAGGATATTTTGACTTTTTTTTTATAATGTTTACTTTGCTACCAAATACCAATAAAGTTCGTGATTTATAATTTTTTTTATTTTATTTTATGTTTTGTTTGGTGGTTTTGCTTATGCCAGTTATTTAGATTTGCTTCTTAGTTTAAAGTATAATGAGACCATTATCAGTATTTTAATCCAATAATCCCATGGTTTCAATTATTGTCACCTACCAAAATAATTGGCATAAGTGTTCCATATTTTTTAGCGCAGTCATTATAGAAATTATCCAAGAAAAATCTGCCAACTGACTTAATGTATGTATGTGTATGTGTGTGTTGGAGGTGTCAGTTGCACCACGACCAAGGTTGATCTATTATTCCCCTCTTTCTGCTGGTAAGTCCCTTAGGAATTTTAGCATGTCTAGCGGTTCCAGGGCTGGAATGTCTTCCGACTGTATAAGGGCACTTCCAGATTCTTCATCCTTGAACTACTAACGGCATCGCAGTTCAGTAGAAGATAATGAGGTGTCTCTTCTCCGTCTTCACAGAATCTGCATGTGCCACCTTCTAACCCCAACTTCTATAGGTGTTTCTTAAGTTTGCAATGCCCCGAGAGAAACCCGGTTAGAGTCTTGAGACTTTTCTTGCTAAGGTTGACCAGCAGTTTTGTTCTTTTTTGGTTGAAGTTGTTTGTTCCTTAGCCGGTTCTCTTCTTTTTTGAGGATTTCTTGGAGATACGTATTTCCGACGCCGCAAAATGGTTCCAGCCCAGTGAAGGGAGTAGATGGTTCCGATTCTTGCGAGTCTGTCTGCGCATTCGACACCTATATGTCCGGGCACCCAGAGGAGGGTTAATTTGTTGCGTTTTCCCAGCTCATTTAGTTTCTGTAGACATTCCCATACTGTCTTAGAATTGATGACCGTGGATTTCAATGCTTTGATAGCTACTTGGCTGTCAGATATTATTATAATATCTCGTTTCCGATAACTTCTGTTCAGGTTGAATTGCACGCATCTTCCGATCGCATGAAGTTCCGCTTGAAATATGCTTGGTGATTTACCCATTGGCACAGAGTATTTGGTCCATGGCCCGAATACTCCGACTCCAGTTCCCTCAGCAGTTTTGGAACCGTCTGTGTACCATTTGATGGTGTTTACTTTAAGGGATTGGATAGATTCCATGTTCCATCTGTTTTTTGTACTTAGCTCGATGAAACTAAACTAAATTCATCAACAATCGCGTCTTTTAGTAGATCCATGAGGTGTGCACAGTTTGGGAGGGAAAAAGTTCTGCAAGGTGCGTTTCCCTTTGTAAACCTATCTTCTCTAGTCTTGTCATGATCCACTGGCAACCCGCTTCACTATTATGTGGAGTGGTGTGAGGTCTAGAGTAGAATGACTTCTAATGCCGCGGTTGAGCATGATCTCATTGCGAGTCTTTGCGCTTTTCCTAGAGTTTTCCTTGCTGTTACTAGCTGGGTTCGGCTATATCCGGCTTACACTTCGTACGTGATGATAGGTCTCACTATCATGGTATACATCCATCTTAGGATTGATGGGTTACAACCCCATGTTTTACCCGCAATGTTTTTGCAGACCATGAGTGCCGAGATTGCTTTGTTTTTTGTGTTCTCTACATGTCGGTTCCAGAGAAGTTTAGAATCTAGGGTTATTCCTAGGAATTTAACTTATTTTTTTCCAATCAAGTCTGCTTCCATCGAGGCGAATGTCTCTCAGGTTTGGGAGGTTCATTCTTTTTGCAAATGTGACCAGTGTGGTTTTTGCTAAGTTAAGATTCAGTCCCACTGTGTCACACCATTCCTTCATGGTTCGAAGTGCTTTTTCTATAAGTCTCTTCTCTGGTCATCATGACTATATCATCGGCGTATCCAAAGCAGGTGAAGCCCTGATCTGTGAATAAATTTAGGAGGTCGTCAACCACTAGACTCCGAATCAAAGGTGAGAGTACCCCTCCCTGCGGACATCCTCTAGTGGTGGTGACCTGTATGGTTTGTTCACCCACATCAGTTTCTTCAGTTCTGGTGGCTAGTGTTTCGCACATCCAGATGGATGTGGTTTTATCCACTCCTTTTTTAACGAGCATATTCTTTATTGACTCATGAGAGGTGTTGTCAAATGCCCCCTCCTCTATATCCAAGAAGGCGCCCCCTCCTTTATGTCCAAGAAGGCGCCTCCTCCTCTATGTCCAAGAAGGCGCAGACGGCTTCTTCTTTATTATGCAATGTACTTTGGATGCTGTCGGTGAGTTCAAGTAAAGTGGTTTCTGTTGATCTGCCCGCTCTATAAGCATGCTGCCTAGGATGTAGTGGCGTTTTTTCTGAAACACTTGTTCTGTTTTAAGCAAGAACGGCGTGAGGCATATAGGTCTGAACGACTTAGGAAGAGTGGCGCCTCTTTTCCCTGCCTTTGGGATGAAAGTTACTTTAGCTCTTCTCCACTGACTGGGAATCCATAAATAAGAAACCCCATATATAAACCATGATTTCAAGAGCACCCCTGAGACATTATAAAAACGCGAGCTCAAGAGTGATTTCCAATGTAGTCGTACCTAACCTTGTATGATTTGAGACATTGGGTACTACTTAATACAAAAATCTAGCTAGTTGGCATTTTTTCCTAAAATCAATGAAATAACTGCTGGACTATTTCCCTATATGATTTCCTTTTTTTCTTGATCGCTTATGAACGTAGACTGTGTTTTTGTTTGTCGTTTGATGTTGTAATAATCATCATCTGCATGTTAGTGAGTACTGTAGAGTCTATAATAAAAAAAAAATAGGAGTCTTAGCTCTCAATGCACAAAAAAAAAAATAGAAAAATTTAAATATGGCGCGCGTTTTTATATTTTAATAATGACATATAAAACTATTTTAGTATACGCGTGAATCTTAGATATATAGCTAAAGACTTTTTAAAACGAAGCAGTCAAATAAGTTCGAAAAATCGCGTGAGCTAAGTATAGGACTTTAGTAAGAGGAAGAGGGGACCATGAAGCGGACCTTCTAAGACGGATTTTTAGGGTATAGGCAATGAAATATATTTTAATAGGCAAAAATGGAACTTGTTTGTCTGCTTAATTCATATTAAAAAGGCATTAATAATGTAATCTTTAATAAAAACTGCTCAATATGGTTGAAAGAGGAATGATTCTATCGTTTCGGGGATTTTGTAGAACGACGCCATTAGGTAAATTGAGAGTTTCGATTTGTTAGTAGATACTTATCAATAATTGAGCAATAAATATCTTTACGGTTGGATATTGACTCATCATAACCCAATAATTATTTTCTAATTAAAACATGAACTTATATAGATAGATTTATAATAATTATTATTATTGTGTTAGGATTATGTAGGTAATGTGCAATGCTAGGAAAGGTTTTTGTGCGTCGTTCACAGTGGGTTTGACTTTTACTGGTGCTGTAGCACAACCAAAAATAAGATATTTGAAAAAAAAGTCTTCCCTCCCGAATCATTTTTTTCTTTATATACAGATGATTGTTTTATCTTTAAGCAGCTTGATCATCCCTACATGACTAGGTTAGGTTCGCCTGAATTTAGAGACTTTTACTGGCTTACCCCTTTTGCTGTAAGCTTGTATACATATTTTGCTGGACGAATAGTGATTAGGAGTATACAGTAGAATTGCTTTCTTTACTATTTGTCCTTTGAAATAAATCACATTTAAAAACGCATTGGGCAATATCCAGTTTATGATTCCGATAGATTGAAGTAAACAAGTTTTTAATGAGAATTTACTATCAGATTTATTATTTCCATCAAGAAGGCATTGAAGACATAAAACTTTAATATTTTTCATAAAATTTTCTCATCATATCATCACCTTTCACATCTATCTCATCATTATTTTGTAATCACACGCATAGCCGGCTTCTGCTAAGAGTAGAACCTCACGTCCACGCTTTCCAGTTGCCACCTTCATCTATTTTGTCAATCTACTGGTGCCGAAAGCCAAACTGTTACCCTAAAACTATTGAAAATGTTAATATATTTCCTCAAACGATATATAAAAGAGAAATATGATGTCTACCACAAATTTGAAATTATTCTGTTGATCAATACATAAAAAAAGGAACAAATCTGAATGTTGTAACTACAGATGTATATCGGTATCTTTATGAAAAGACTGTATGGAAAAATTATAGGAAATATCATTGTAGTCCGATGAAATCGATCAGTAACCAGTGTGGTGTGTCATGACGAAATAACTTCATGATCAATCAATCATCCCTCAAGCTAGGAATCACACCATCAGACTCAGTTATCTTGTAATAGTAGGTCCAGAAAATTAAGAAGATCGTGCAGAGGAATGAGTATTAAAGAAGGAAAAACCAGAAAGCCTTGACCTCATTTGGCAGAAGGATAGATAGAGCAAAGCACAAACAGTAATATAACAGCTCAATTCAGTCCACTGGTCTAGAAATAGATCATTGGAGATGAAGTACTGTATCCCTACAAGAGCATATTGTCCTCTATGTCCGGTGAGCTTGGCAAATCATTGTAAAGATTAGAGCAAATAGTCCTAGCAACCGAATTGGATAGAGTCAGAAACGAAAATGTTTGGAAAGTACAAAAACAATAATAGACAGCAACTAAGTAGTTCTGAAATGGCCGAAAAAAGAGAATGATAAAAAGTGAAACGCAGGAGCTTTATTCCGCTTATCCACTCGGAACATATCTCCGCATATGACTGACATGAAAGGTGCCTCGCTCAGCTTTGGAATCCAGATTTTCCAAAACATGCGTAACAGAACTAACCTATTTCTTAACCCTAAAAGGGCCAGTGAAAAGCAGTAAAATTTTTTTTGTTTCCGCTGATATTGCTGACGGCCCACGTTGGGCGCCAAAGATGAGACAGAACTTGAATTTAAGGGGTGGTGGTTCAGTGGCGAATTGGAACAGAAAGAATTCCAAGAATGATGATTTTATGCATAGCAAAATGGTCACTCTTTTGCTACAGGAGTTCTCGAGTCTTCCTGTGGTATCTACTAATACTGTTGGTACCTTTAATTTCTCAAACTTCAAATGCTAAATGCTCATTGCATTTTTCGTCTATGAGGATATGTGATCTTTCAAGCTCTGGTTCTCTATCGACTAAATGCTCAATTATATTAATGTTAAGTTGAACAAATCATTCACCAACACTATCATTATTTATTCACATCTCAAAAATTCTGTTTAGTTTTTTCCATATTGTTAGATATTATTCAACTACCTACCTTGTAGATTGTAGATTGTGGGGGGAAGTTTCGGCTTTCCAGCCGCTCAGCACTGCTACCTTTGCAGATATTTTGTACGTGACTCTACATCTTAAATTGTCTTTAGAAAGCGTAGACTTCTGCCGAAGGAAGCTATTTTTCTGGGTGTTAGTTGGCCCACTTCTTCTGGTGAAAGTGTTGCCTCCTGGAGGAATTTGAGCCTCTTGCAGAATTGGGCTCGACATTCGCAGAGCAGGTGTTCTGCGTTCTCTATTGCATCTGAGCAGAATCTGAGATCGTCTTCTGTTCCGCCCATTAACCTTAAGTGGTATTCCATCTGGCAATGTCCTGTGGACAGTCCTACGACCATTCTGATGTCTGGTCTGCTCATGTTTAGGAGTTATTCAGCGCTTTTTGCTGAAAGGGTGACCTTTTTGAATGTCTTAGTCCCAGAGTGTGCCTCTAATATGATGACAGTTGGTCTTTCTCTCTTTAATTTGTTGAGTTCTTCCATAATGTGGCTTTCCATTGGGCCACAATAGAACTCTGGTCCATGTTATGGTGATCAGGCCCCTGCTTTTGCGAGGCCATCTGCTTCTCCATTTCTTTCTATGCTTCGATGACCAGGCAGCCACATCAGCGTTACCTGGTTGTGTGTCGCTAGTGTTTTTAGGGTCTGTTCACACTTCCAGACTAGTTTTGAAGTGCATTTGAAAGCAATTAAGGCTCTTAAGGCAGCCTGGCTATCTGATAGTGTAAAGATGTATTTTCCTTTGAGGCTTTGGTTGGGACTCTCTTGTTCACGGCAAGCAGTTATCAGTGTCGGTCTGCGCATCAAAGATGCGCAGATGTCCCCTCAGATCATCAGGCTTGAACTCGTCTGTTTGGAATAGCCTGTGAGCGCTGATTATTGCCTCCTTTTCCACACATAGATGGAGTGGTGGCACGTTAAGCAGCGTCTTTAGGGCTGCAGTGGGGCAAGTCGACATTGCTCCCGTTATTTTTAGGTATATCAGCATTTGTACCTTGTTTAGCCTGATCTGAAGGGTGACATGCTGAGTTTTGGGCCATCATACCAATGAGGCATCTGTGACCATGGGTTTTTAAATCCAGAATACCATCGCCCCCATGTTTTACCAACCAGTTTGCGGCATGACCAGATTAATGATATTATAGTTCGAGCATGTTTTCTCTAAATGTTTGTTCCAAGTGAGTGTTTGGTCTAGAGTGACCCCCAAGTGGCTCACTTCGTTAGAAAATGTTATTGTACCATTAAGGGTGGTTGCTTTAAAATTTATCTTCCTGCTTCTTCTTGTGAACGGAACAAGAATTGTTTTGCTTGGGTTTAGGGATAATCCCTCGCCTTCGCTCCAATTTTTGACGATATTTAGAGCATCTCATCTGCATAGCCTATGACCTGGTATCTAGCACTACTCAGTCTGGTAAGGATTTCGTCCACCACTAGTGTCCATAGTAGTAGAGAAAACACCCCCTCGAGGAAACCCTTTGACCGTGGTAGCGGTAGCTGATGCTCCGTTTATTTCAGCCATAACGTAACGGTGTTTTAGCATCGACTCTATCCATTTTACACTTGTGACTTCAACATTTCATTATGGGAGGCTCTAGTGATTAATTGATGATTCAATTACCTTAATCAGTATCACCTGTAACCTATATCATACTCCTTCATCACTTTTCGCCTATATTTACAAATAAATTCCTGATGTCTCATTCACATCATACCGCTCAGGTTTCATCATTATTAGTCAATTCAAATTCACATCCTTCTCACCATTATTTTATAATCATTGACAAATCATCATCACTACTCTTTTCCGGTTTCGTCATCAGCCGTAAAATTCTCATAGAGCTGGTAAGGAGTTCGTGTCTGGATCACATATTCAGTTCATGAATGTAATGAGCAACAAGCAGGGAAGATTATTTCCAAGGCTTTCGAAACTATCCTAATTAGGAGCCACTCGAAAAATCTAGAAGTACTTTGCGATAAAACACTCAGGAAGCAGTCCACTTTATTCAAGATCTATCTGAATGAGGAGACGGGGGAGACTCATGCTGTTGAAAAGGGAAAACTTATCAAAGGATGAAATGACACTGTTCCACTTTCTAGACGAATAAGTAAGCTCAAAGAATAACCTAAAAAAACCTGTATAATCAATGGCAAGAATAAAGCTTTTTGAACAATATGAGAACTGGCCAGCTACAAAAAAATACTAAACAAGAATATGGATAGAGACAGGGACAAAAGAATACAATGAATAATAAAAAAAAGAAGATCATCAAGGATATTATACGATAAGAAACAAAGACAATTTATGTGGTAGGAACATATGGATAGGTACGTGGAAAATATGTAAGAGCAGCGAATTTCAAGACTATTCCTATAAATGGGTGTCTATAGAGAGGAAACTCAGAAGAAGTCGGAAAACTTATTCACAAATAGGTACTAATTTTATTCACATTAAGCATTCATCCATTAATTCAAGCATTTTAATTCAAATCACTTCATTTCATCAATATCACAATCATCATATGATGCATGTGCAACATATGTTGCACCATTATTATTTCAATCATGACAATCACCATTACACTACTTCGACTTATATTCACAAGCTCATCATCAATTTCATTTAATTCACGTCTTCATCCATCATGCTCATCCACAGCAATCACACTTTTTATTATTTATGCAAATTACACGTTTTGATTCATCATTGTTTCAATTATTGACAATCATATTCATAAATTTTTAAATCATGAGCATTTCATTCATCATCATCTATTTTTCAGACAATCATTTTATTTAGCTTCAATGCTTTCGCTTCACATTGGAAACTTGTTTGAGACTTGAAAGAAAAATCTCATTTCCCAACCACAATTATTTACGATAGAAAATTAAGGTAAATCAGGGTAGCCAAAAAAATATTATTACATAAAAATGTATTATAGCTTATACTGTATTTTCTATCGTAAAATATTGAAATTTTGTGGGTCTGATGGAATTGAGATTTTTTTCATTGCAATGAGGAAACTATATGAAAGTGGCCAAAAGAGTCTAAGTCTTGGAACACCATCTATATTGACCATCTTTCCAAAAAAATTAAGACTTCAACATCCATGTAGGTATTTTCTATCGCGTAGTGCTGCCAAAAGAAATAAAAATATAATTTTCATAGCCGTTTCACACGCCACACCGACTTTGCAAAAAAAAATTAAATCACTCTGTATATTAGCAGATTTCGATACACACTTTAATATACAGGCCTAATTATGTCGTTTCTAAGTAATATCTATATTTCCATATTTATTATATTACGATAAAAATTAATTTTTTGGTATAGACTTTAAGAAAAAAAAAAGTACTCTATACTTATAGATGTTTTGTAGAAGAAAAAAGATGCTGTATTTATACCGTACTAATTTAATAAAATTTAAAAAATATTTATAATAAATAGGATATACATATTATTATAACTTTTGTAGCCTCCTAAATAAAAATAAAAGACATAGCTTAGGGTCGCAGGTTATTCGCACTGCTACGTTCTGATAATGAGGATGTCAAAGAAATTTTGTATACGCCTTTCTTCTACTCCGAATGCTTTAAACAACAAAAACATCTTTTTTTTTTTAGCAAACAAATGGGAGAAATCTGCTCTGTGAGCAGCCTGAATACAGTGAAGACAAGCTTGTGTTAGTTAACTTAAATGCCAAATTTTAAATTAGTAGGTATCACTAATCCATTAATTATTATTGGCACTCAAAAGCACAATATACCAGGCTTACGACATCCAAAAATTTTGTCTTCTGATTGTAACTCAAAGCAATAAAGTATCGAAATAAGTAGTTTCTAAAATTTATCTATTTATCTAACTTTTTAACCTTTAAAAAAAATTATTATATTCGTACTAAGGGTAGATTTTAGAGCATTTAAAATCGTAGAGTAAACGCCCTACGACCCTAGCAGCAGTCACCGCTCATTTATATTTAAAAAAATATTACCTAAAAAATATATATTTAGCAGCAAAAAAATGTTTCTATTTATCATTATTACCTATACTGTGTGTTTGAACGTAACATATTTTATGGTTGAACTCTTTGTCGTTTTTTATAAAAAATAAATAAATATTATATACACGCTATGAAAAAAAAATTGGACCTTGCAAACATTGACTTTCGTCCCAAAAAAAAATATTTTTCTAAAAAAAAAACCACCTAATTTACTTTGAAGGAACATTACAGTGTAGTCGAATACCCTACAATTATGGCCAAGTTGGCAACAGCTAAAAGTTGAAATTTTTCTCATATAGATATGATCGAGTATTAGTAATTTTAATCAAAGCAAGTTCCTTTTTTCAGATTATAGAAAAACCTAATTGTGTCCAAATATAGATACTAAAAAGGTATATGCCAAAATGAAAATAAGAAATTTTGAAGATCGGCACTATATTTAAATAAGAAAAAAATAATATTAGCACTGAGATATAAAAATACTTTTTGTTTTTGTCCAAAGAGAAAAATGTTTAACATAACTTTGACATAATCAACAAGTTTACATTGAAGCTTATCCTTTACCTGATATCGAAGAATTTGACGTTTTTAGCACTATTGACCTAGAAAGTGTGTATAAGCAGTTCCCTATAAGAGATGATGAAAAACAGTTCCCTGCTTTTGAAGCTGATGGAAACCTCTACCAGTTTAATCGTATCCCTTTTGGTGTGACTAACGGCGTAGCTTGTTTCCAAAGAGTCTTAGATACAATAATCGGGCAAGAAAATCTAGAAGGCGTCTACGCATATCTCGATAAGAATCTACCAGCTTTTCTGAGAACTATTAAAAAGTACAATCTAACTATAAATAAAAGTAAAAATTTGTTGAACAAAAAGACAATTAAACTATTGGGATATCTTTAACCTGATCCTATAACTTACTTACCTAACCTGAATCTGCAAGACTTGAACCTCTACAGAATCTTCCAGTACTCACTTCAAAGAGCTATAGGCATGATCGCTCATTACCTACTCTAAATAGATACCTAGATTCTCCAAAAAAATTCATAGAATTGTTAGTACCAGAAACTTTCCTAGGCAAGAGTCTGCTATCACCAATTTTCACAATTTGAAAACTGAAATAGCAAAATCAGCTGTCACTCACAGGAAAGAATTGAAAGTGGCTATCAGCAAGGCAAAAAGGAACTGCTGGAGAAAACTCTGCGACGACATCAACAATGACTGCTGGGGTGACGGCTATAGAATATCGCCAAGGAGGAAAGATGGAAAGATTTCTGCTAACGTGCAGTGGAGCAGATGTTCCTGAACTCACTGTAAACGAAATAACAGACGCATGTCACAAGCTGAAACCCAATAAAGATCCAGGTACAGATGGCATACCCGCAGAGATCCTGAAACTCCTAGTTGAGATAGAACCCCAACTCTTTCTGAAAACCCTCTACAACGCATTGAAAACGGCATGTTCCCACGAAACTGGAAGATAGCTAACCTAGTACTGATGAAGAAGCCCAGAAAATCGGCACACGACACCCAGAAATTCCGTCCTTTATCTCATGTGGCAAACTCCTTGAACACGTCATCCTCGCAAGGCTAAACATGGACCTCGACCTAACGACCACATTGAGCGAAAGGCAGTTCGGGTTCAGGCAAGGTAGATCCAGCACTACGGCAATCCTGAAAGCACTAGACACGATAGGACCATAAATCTACAAAAAAAGCCATAGACACAGGCTCTTTGGCATAATGGTTACCCTGGACCTCAAAAACGCCTTTAACTCGGCACCTTGGCAAATGATCAAAGAGGAGCTTGAGAGAAGAGGTGCAGCGCGATACCTGGTCAATCTCATTCAACTACTTTACGGACAGTACTATCGTCCTGAAGGCGGAAAGCCGCAAGGGCACGTTCTACATGTCCTGCGGCGTCCCACAAGGCTCAGTCCTGGGACCCACCCTCTGGAACATCTTATACGACGGCCTTCTCAATTCAAGACAACCACAGGGGGTGTCACTGATCGGCTACGCAGACGACGTCGCTTTGGTCCTGGCCAGGAACATCGACGTGGCAGAAGCCAAGATAGGAGCGGCAATGACCAGCATCAGGTGCTGGCTCCATGCAAACCACCTCGAGCTATGTGAGGAGAAGACCAAGGCAATTATCCTTTCCTCAAAGAGAGTTGTCCCTCACAGGGACCTGAACATTATGGGCAGAATCGTTACGCCGAAGCCCGAAGTCAAATACTTGGGAGTCTGGTTGAACAACAAACTCTCCTTTGCTTCCCATATAAGGAACGTGACCACGCGGGATGGTAATGCCATGTCCGCCCTAGCGCGGCTAATGCCCAACGTAGAAGGACCAGCACCCAGCAAACGAAGGCTGCTATGTTTGGTGGCGAGGTCCATACTCCTGTATGCTGCACCTGTCTGGGGCCATATCATGAACGTTATGTTACCACCGCCACCTGGTTACAACGGTTGGGTAGGGGAGACTTTGTTTTAGCCCTGGTAAAGGCCTTTTTGTACTGTGGTAGCGTGACACCAGGGACTTTGATTAAAGTCTCTTTGAAAATCTAGGTAACTTTGAACGGATACTTGTTAGTAATCTGATTAGATTGCCTCTTCCAGTGCGGGTTCTTGTTACCTGAGCTGTACGCAGCTAATTGGAATGCTAGCTCGGGGTTTTCCAAAGGAAATAAAGGAATCAGTTTTTCTTACTAAACTCTAACAATGGTTTATTGAACAAATGGTAAATCTTGGTAAGGAAATGAAAGAAAAGTAAAGAATATACAGTAAGTTATTAACAATATTTACTGAAATGAAATGGAAGAAAATACATACAGAGCTTTTGGAATGATAGGGAGTGAAATTATTGAGCGTCCTGTATAGGGCGTTCCTTGATAGTACAAGTTATATGAGAAATTAAGGATTAAAAGATACAGAAAATAAAGACTAGGTTATAATTCTTAGTGGGTAAATAGACACGGGCGTCCTCGACACGGGCGTCCTCGACACGGGAATGACAAAACGGCCTGGTTATTCAGGGTAAGATACATGTTGGAAAAGAGATTTGAGTTGTGAAGCTAACCCAATGGTTTTGTTCTTTACACAGGGGAGAAAATAAATAATAGACAAAAAAACAACAATCATGATAAATAAATTAAAATACTTGAAATTGAAACATTACCCAAGGTCTCGGAAAGAGAGTCAGCAGAAAGACGTCAACACTAAACACCAGAACTTCGTTACAGAACTGGAAGAATCTAGGAGATCGATGACGCTTTTGGGATTTTTTATCGGTCGCAAAACATGCGGTTTGTTCATGGAACCCGGAGTCGAGAGTCGTATTTTAAGACACAATTAGGACACTGTTTCGGGGTCCGACTGATAACTCTTGGCTCTTGACACGGTTTCGTCAGAAATTTAGCGACTTAATCTCGCTGGGTAAACAAACCAATTAATTGTATTACGAAGCAAAATGAAAGGATTTTTAGGGCCGTTTTGTTACAGTCAAAAAGTATCGGAACATTCACTCGAGGATAAAACGTCAAGCAGCTCTCCGCATATGTAGCGCCTATCGCACCACCTCAACAGACGTCATCTTAGTGATAACGGAGACCTCCCCTCTGGACCTCCTCACCAAACAGGCCATAACAATAGCACAGACCCCAATGCCTCTTAAAAACACCGCCCGATCGGAATCCAAAGAAACCACCATGGCGGAATGGCAAAATAGCACAAAGGGCAGATGGACGTATAGACTGGTACCGAACATATCTACATGGACAAACAGGAAACACGGCAAGACGGACCACTTCCTCACCCAGCTTCTGACAGGACACGGATGCTTCTGCTCATACACTTACGAAATAAACAAAACGGCAGTGCGTATACTGTGGGGAGGCCGACACGGCACAGCACGCACCTTTATCTACTGCAAGCACTGGCTAGAGCACCGCGAAGCCTACACGAACAAGATAGGGCCCATCTCGCCGGAGACAATGGTGGACAAAATGATTAGCAGTCCCCAAAACTGGAACGCTGTCAACACTTTTGCAAACGAGGTAATGAAGGAAAAAATAGGCGATGAAGACAACTTGACAATTGAATTTCAAGACATCTGAAACAACAATCGCTGCCATTCGAAGTAATGCCCTCCCAGTTCCAAATGGTTGGCTATAATTCCAGAGGGGAAAGGGGTTTTAGTCGGTCGGTGATCCTCAGAACCGGACACCATCCCGACACACCCCCTGGCGCCAGAACAACAGCCAGGGATAGTCTGCCTAACAGATTTCCTAAATCCCTCTGAAGAAAAAACAACAAAGGAAGGCTCATCAAAATAGAGAAAAAAAAACACAGGAAAATTCAGTCAACAAAAGCAGCACAAATAAAATAATTTAATATAAAATAGATTTGAGAATAACTCTAGAAAAACATGCTACTCAAGAACAGGAAAGAAGGAATTTATAATAATGAAATAAATAAAAGTTTGAGAAAACAAGTCTAAATGCTGAACTAAAACTAGCAAAGAGAAAACAAGCAAACAGAACATAATGTGATTCAAAACAAGAGTTAATGATAACGATGTACTTAAAATATCTATGAAAATAACAAACAAAAGTTTCAACATTTACTATAAACACCCAGAATTACTATCAATTGACTGTAAAAGTGTTCAAACCAAGCCAACTTTTGCAATAAATACTTACTTCTTACAAGAAAAGTGTTTTTATATCGCAGTATTCGCCAAAGCACAATAATTTCGTCATATCAAAGCTTTACTGTGATGATTAAGACTGACATAAGTGTTGTTCGGAAATAGAAAATTAAGTCTATACCTCTAAAAAAAAACAATTTTCGTTTTACATTAATTATTATGCAGTGTGACGAAAACTAAAATTAACCCAAAAAATAATAATTATAAACTGAAAGATTTCCATAAATTTATAATAAAAGAAAATTGCTTTTCCAAGTTGACAACGTCGATAGACAGAGTCGACTCGGTGCAATTAACTTTACATTAAAAAAAATATAGGAAATCGATGAGTTTTTTTCAAATATGGTTTCACAGTACTTGAATCTTGATACTTTAAGTTGAAGTACAAGTTTCGTTTTAAGTGAAAAATGCAATAAATCACCCATTCTTCAGAAAATTGATTTTATTGCAGTACTCACTGCTGTTTTAATGGAATCTTGCCATAATAACAAATATAAATATATTAAAATATAATTTACTAGAAATTTTTAAGAGAAAAAAAAATCCTTAATATCTATATTTAGAAACAGGACGAAATGCGATGGTTGCAAGAACCTATCAAAAAAATAATTTATAAACTTTATAGATATGATGTGTGAATGTTTTTTCTTCTCCACCCTATATCGAAAAAGAAATCTGGATCTTTATTATTGCTATATATTTCAAGTGATTAAACAACTAAAATAAAATATTCCAAAGCTAGAAAACTACTGCTTATTTATTTGTATGTTTCACTATTGCTTAATTTGAACTTTTATAATAATAATTAGTGTTTAACCTGTTGGGAAAGCTAAAAAAAATTTGTAAGTTAGACAAATGGGACCATAATATCTTCCCTATAATCTCTTCTCAAGAAAATTTTAGATTTGGGTCCAGCCCATTCATAAATCATTCTGTTTTATAAAATGTAACATTTAGCTTTCTCAACGCTGCTACTGTAGGGTTGCACTTTTAAGAAGCAAAAATAAACAATAAACATATTAATAATATATTGGGGAACATATAAAACATCGACTAATTAACGTATTCTAGAGATCATTAGAACGCATTTTATATGATTAAATTGTAGAAGACATTAAGAACTGTCGTCTATAGTTAATCAACTATCATTATATCTACATTGAACACAATACTTAAGCGTAAATCTGGTGCCAAAAAAAAAAGTTACTACTACTAAAAAAAAAAATTGTTACTCTATATTTCGAATTTTATTTTTAACGAAAAAGAAAATAAAGCAATATTAACGTGTAATCCGTTTTATACCCCATTTATCAGACTGGATTTTTAGGTTAAAAGCAAATGGCATAAACTTACAAAACAAAACAAAAAACTAATAAATTTTGTTTATAGATACCTAATTAAATTGAAACAAATAAATATTTAATAATAACACAAAAATATATTATATTTTTTATATCCAGAACATTATTTTATGTCATTTGCCTTTTGTCTATTAATGAATATTGAATTTAAAAAAAAAATCAACAAATTCTGAAAAGCGATATTTTTTCTATTAAAAAATAAAATAAATCTCGTGTGTTTTATGGACGATTATTATACAGAGTGACGCAATATTAATTTATCAGAAAAATGTTTAAGGTGCCAGCGGGTTCTTACTTCATCCTCTAATAATAATAATGAATTTTATACGGGGTGACTCGCTTATATGCCGCCCTGTACAGGTATATTTTAGTACAGGAATTTTCGATGTTTGGGTATCGAAAATTTGTTTTTACCACACTCACCCATGTAAAAGGACACTTCTTATGGGATTTCTAACCGCGGTCAAATTTAACTTATGTTATAGATCTGACTTTTCTTTCCAATAACTACCATGGGCACAGCTTAATCCTATGACTAGTTTTTGAGATACAGGGTGTTCAATGTGTGAATGTCCAATATGCATTATGACATCCTATTCAATCAGCCAAATCATATTCGTGTGAGAATTTGGTCAAGGCACAGAAATCAAGTAAAATACCAATAATAATTTGTGCTCGAACCATAGGTTCATGTACAGGGTGTCCCATTTTGATTGTACATAAGTTGCTATTGGAGTTTGAAGGATGCGGTTTTCACAAACTTTAGCTACTTTTTTGAGAAACGAATGATGGCGCCAACAGAACTGTCACCGCCCTTTTGGTTTTTTCAGATACAAGGTGTTTTTTGAAAAAGTTGCATTTTGGGACACTCCTTGTATATTGGTTCTCTCACAAGTGATCGAAAAGTTGAAAACAGATTCTTATAGATATTTTAACGAAGACTCCAGTAGCGTAGTCAGTTTTTCTCTAGAAGTAATAGTTTTTGATTTATGAGCCAAACATAGTGTTTTCAAAAGAGACACCCGATATATTATTAAATCGTTGGATAGCTCTGCTTTTGCTGATTCCAGCAAAAACTTTTTTCCAGCAAAACTTCGTCCGGCCTGCACTTCTCCAAGTGAAAATTGACGAATTTGAGACCACGCTGTCCTGGAAACTCAGAGCGTTACATAAATTGGCGCGCAACGTGGGGCCCGAGATTTGCTCTGAGATTCAAGACAGCATATCTCGGGCCACACGTTGGGCGCCAATTTATATAACGCTCTGAGTTTCCAGGACAGCGTGGTCTCAGATTCGTCATTTTCTCTTAGAGAAGTGCAGGCACGGACGAAAGTGCCTGAATGAATTGAGGGGATATAAGGACTCATTCATCAGTGAGAAAAAGAAATTTACATACCTGAACGGCCGATAGTTAACCTCACTTTCAAAAATCTTCACAAAAATCAAAAATCGGTTGATTTTCCAGAAAACTTCCTAGTAGACACGAGCAAGCACTCTTCTGGCTAGTTAATTTTCAAGAATCTGGACTCGATGGCTAAAAACAAAGATAAAGTTTTAAGATTTTCAAAACTCTAAAAATCTGGATGATCTGTTCGGTTCCAAAACAAAAGAGAAAAAGGCAAGTCAAAAGTACCCAAATTGGTTCTGTCTCTTCTTTCTTAATCTGTCAAGCTTATCAAAATCATAAAAATGACAGCGCTAGAGGTTTCTCGGAAACAACAGAATTCTCGATATTAGGTTAGGAAAAGTAGTCAGAAGAATCGTAGATGTCGCTAGGCGTACGAAATAGTACTTTTACATGAGTCCAAAATATATAAAAATAATTAAGAACAATAAATATATTCTTGTGACGATTCAAATGTTACACAACTCCAATAGTTTCTTATGTACAACCAAAATAGGACACCCTGTATAAATAAACCTATGGTTCGAGCACAAATAACTATTGGTATTTCACTTGATTTCTGTGCCTTGACCAAATTCTCACACGAATATGATTCGGCTGATTGAATAGGATGTCATAATGCATATCGGACATTCACACATTGAACACCCTGTATCTTATAAACTGGTCATAGGATTAAGCTGTACCCCTGGTAGTTATTGATCAGAAAGGTCTATAATATAATAATTTGACCGTGGTCAGAAATCCCATAAGAAGTGTGCGGGGTCCATTTCTGTAGAAATTTTTCCAATGCAGAGATTGTTGAATGGTTGGAAATTAGTAGCCAGAGGTTTGAGGTTTTCTGGTAAAATTCCTGCACTATTTTTTTTTTTTAGTAAACTTCGAGGTATCTAATTTTAAACTTTGCTTCCGATTGGTTTCGACGAACTTCCGTTATTGTGCTCAAAAATCTTTTAAAAAAATACGTACTTAGGTATAAATCCTGATGGGGATTATTTCAAATACGGACCTGAACTAAGACCTTTCCAAACCAAACATCATTATCAGGTCCGTATCCAAATTCCCCATTTTGTCGAAAGAAACAAAGAGTAATAAGAACAGTTCCGAATGTTGTCGACCATTTTTTACCTTATATAGATTTAATATTAATGATAAAAAAAAAATGAAACACGCAAAGGAATATTTGAATATGAATTTTTTTAATAAATTGTTGTTAGATTAGCGGAGATTTTTCATTACCTTATTAGTAGTGTAATAGGTTAAGGAAAAAAATATATAGGTGATACTATGTAAATAATTTATGTTTACCAATGAAGAACCAAAAAATCTACATATTTCGTCCATCTTATCAAACTCATTGATAAACAACAACATAAAAATTACTTACAAAGTCGCCTATAACTTTGCTACATTCAATATTTGATCGAAGGTGAAAAGTTTAGAATTAAAAACCTTGAGAATTGGTATAAAAAAATTCCTAATAAATTTTCTAAATGTTACAAAAAAAAACAACCCCCGTATAATCCATAATTAAATGTAATTAATTATAAATAAATATCACTCCAAATAAATCTAAATGTTCTGTACCTCAATGTTCGGAGTTTAAACAAAAAAATAAAATTAATAATCAATATAACCAGTTCATGTGCAATCTATATGTGTTGAAAACTGATTTGCAAGTTTTTTTTTAAGCCGATCATTTTTTGAGGCTTCTAACATGTTCGCAAGGCTTAAAATTTTAGTTTGAAACTTGCAAGTTGGATTCACTTAAATACCTTGATGTCCCAGATTGTTCGAATAGTGTGCACTTTTTATTTATTGTTTACAGGATTTTTGCATTATTTTCTGTATAAAGTTGTAATCGGACAAAAATACTTAACTGTTTTTGTTTAATTACAGTAGAACCCCGGTTATATAAAGGTAACGTATAGGGGAGTACCCACTTCGGATAACTGAAAACTCGGATAATTCGAATACATATATGTATGTACAGGGTGTTTTTTTATATATTGACAGCCCACCTACAGCCTTTACCTTTACAGGTAGATGAAAGGTGTTAATACAATAGTTCTACAATATTGGCTAAATTTTTAGAATCCACGGTCAGAAACAAAAATTGAATCTCAGAAATGTGAAATATTGCATGCTCTCAGCTTTTTTCAAATGGGATGCGCAATATTTGGTTCTATATTCTTGAAGAGCACAATTTCCCGATTCCAAAACTATATAGTTTGTCTATATTTGGTTGAGCCGTATCCAACATATTTGGTTCTGAAAATTTTAACTATCAGAGAAACCAAGTATCTCAAATTTTACCTATAACTTCCACCTGTACTGGTAGAATGGTTCACAAAATCAGAAGTAGGATAGTATTTTTACAATTTTTGAAGCCGAATATATGAGAGATTGCTCAATCAAATATAGATGGGGGCATTGTGCTCTTCAAGAATATAGAATGAAATATAGGGCATCCCGTTTGAAAAAAGTTGGAAGCATTACAAATAAGTGGATTATTGCGGAACTTATGGATGGACCTCTGCGGGACGAGCGCAGCGAGTTCCGCAGCCATCTACTCATCAATATACTGTTGACTGTTCAAGTAAGATATTCACCTGAAACGTGTAGTTTTTAAACTAATGAGAATAACTCACATTTGAGTGAGTCAACTTAGTATCGTAATTAAACAACATATTGATGAATAGATGGCTGCGGAACTCGGTGCGCTCGTCCCGCAGAGGTCCACCCATAAGTTCCGCAACAATCCACTCGTTTGTACTTGAATAACTTGTCATATTATATTACTAGTTTGGTAAAGTAACATTACTAATTCCTATTGAAAGGCAAAGTGACAAAAAGTGGATAATCTTACAAATTTTGCCTTTATATAATAAGTTGTCGTTCAAGTACAAATAAGTGGATTATTGCAGAATTTATGGGCGGAACTCGCTGCGCTCGTCCCGCAGCCATCTACTCACAAATATACTGTTGAACTGTTCAAATAATACACTCACCTGAAACGTGTAGTTTTTAAACTAATGAGAATAACTCTCATTTGAGTGAGTTAGGTTAGTATCGTAATTACACAACATATTGATGAATAGATGGCTGCGGAACTCAAGTTCCGCAACAATCCACTCGCTTGTACTTGAATAACTTGTCACATTATATCACTAGTTTGGTAAAGTAACATTACTAATTCCTGTTGAAAGGCAAATTGACAAAAAGTGGATAATCTTACAAATTTTGACTTTATATAATAAGTTATTGTTCAAGTACAAATAAGTGGATTATTGCAGAACTTATGGGGTGGTCCTCTGCGGGACGAGCGCAGCGAGTTCCGCAGCCATCTATTCATCAATATGTTGTTTAATTACGATACTAACCTGACTCACTCAAATGTGAGATATTCTCATTAGTGTAAAAACTACACGTTTCAGGTGAATGTTGGAACAGTTCAACAGTATATTGGTGAGTAGATGGCTGCGGAACTCGCTGATAAGTTCTGCAATAATCCACTTATTTGTACTTGAACTATAAATTATTATATAAACTCAAAATTTGTAAGATTTTCCACGTTTTGGTAATTTGCCTTTCAACAGGAATTAGTAATGTTACTTTATCAAACTAGTAATATAACCCATTTGAAAAAAGCTGGAAGCATGCAAAATTTCACATTTCTGACATTCAAATTTTGTTTCTGACCATGGTTTCTAAAAATTTAGCCAAAACTGTACAACTTTCGTATTTACACCTTTCTTGTACCTGTAAAGGTAAAGGCTGTAGGTGGGGTGTCAATATATAAAAAAAAAACACCCTGTATATTCTAGAAACTCGAAGTATGGACGTGCGTTCCTCGGATAATTGCGACTCGGATAATCGGGGTTCTACTGTACTTATAATGTAAAAATTATTTTAGCTGAAATATATAATCATTCCCACTTTTAGATTTTGCGTTATTCTTAGAATGCGTCATGATAATCTCTTTAGAAAAAAAACTATAAAAAATATATATTTAAACATTCTTTAGCAATCCACATTGATAATTATTATACACGTAAACTCAAAATGGATTTCTAAAGATTCCAATAAGGCCTTCGGTATTTATTAAAAAAAGGAATTTTGCTTAAAAGAAAACGTATACTAAAAAAGCATATAGCTATTTTTGCAGTATAATATTTTGTCAAATTATTTTTTATACATTTTCTGAATAATTCCACTGGAACGTGTTCTCGATGTGAAATATTTTTGTGTGTAATAATTTGTTCGACAAAAAATTGTTAACCAAAATTTTTATATTAAGTATAAACTATATGTTAGAAGGCCATTCATTCTTCGAAAGAATTTACAAGAACAATTTGGGCGTATGATATTTATATTGATTGTTGTTACTGTGAGGATGTTTAAGAAAGTGTAATAATCTCCCCCAAATCCCTTCCAAAAAAAGGTGGTATCATAACCATAATCCCCATATATATGTACCTATTATAACTTCTATTATATAAGGTGTCACAAAAGTTTATTGTAAGCTCACTTTGTTACACCCTGTATAATTTTTAACCCAAAAATATATACGTAGCATATTATACATACCAATTCTATGTCATGTAATATGCCAGTTGCAGTATTTTGTACGAGTACACGTTTTTTTCGGAAACATTGATGAAATAATAAAAAAAAAAAACTAATAATTATTATTGATAAGAATATAATAAATAATACATAATAATAATTGATATATATAACTTTCTACTTAACTATTAAAATACCTTATAATAAATGTTGCTATACGCATATTATAATAACTTAAATTATTTTATCATACATCAGTAAAATATACATACATAGTATATTATATAGTGAAAAATATAATTATGATAATAAAATGTATTTGTATTCAAAATTATATTGTTTTCATTTATTCTCCCAAAAACCTGGGAAAATTGTATAGGTATTCATAAATACAATTGAGTTTCGTTGAGAGAAGGAGATATCACATTTTCCATGCTTCATGAATCTTTAGTCTGAGATTTCTGAATAGAAATAGAACCTGATGCTGATGATCAAATGTTCATCGTCCACTTTCCTTATCCACTTGCTATTCCAGATGGTGACCTGATGGTGGTATGTCGTAGTGCTAGATCTAGAACTTTCTCCTTATCTTTACAGTAAAGATACAATCTCTAAGGAAATGATTGATCAACTTCAAGACTTAAGCATTGAGATTAGGAAAAATGAACATTTATCAGGAAGAATAGGTTCTGAACGAATTCTGGCATTTGCTTTATTCGCTTCTTTGTAGTGGTACTATCTACCTTTAGTACAAAGAATATTCTCTCATTACTATCACCGCTTTGGACCCATTTTGTATTTGGAGTTTCAGCAATTAGCAGGTCAGGGCAAGCCAAATTGTTAATGTTAATGAACTCCAACAGCAGTTTGCACATGAAGGTCTGAGATGAAGGCTATAACCCTACGGCCTAGGCCCTACAATACAAACACAACGACACCTAGAGTAAAAAATACCCAAATGAGAGTTAATATTGTGAATAACAATGTTTAATTATACACGTTGTTTTTTCTTCGAACTGGAAGTGGAGAACGGAAATAAACACCACTATGAAGTGTGTAGTTGAGTTGTGTAGGTTGTTGTTGTTAACTGATGATAACAGGAAACATAACTAATCTTCATCTTTCCTAATTTTGATGTCAACTACCATACCATCAAAACCAAGAGAGCCCTGCACAGGTTTCATAAAAAACATCACGGTTGTTTGAGAGATGGTAGGTTTCCTGATAACTTTTATGACGTCATCTGGGGTGCCTCGACATAATTCCAAATCTCCATGAGGCACCCATTACCAGACAACCTCTCAACTTTAGGAGCCATAAAAGATGAAATGTATGATATTTCTTGACACTTGACATTGTTGACATAAGAAAAGACAGGAGAACTGCTATCGATTGTCCAAGTAAAACTATCGATAGTTCGATACTGCAGCAAACTATCGATAATTACTATCGATAGTTTCCCACCTCTACGCCACAATCAAGAAGCATCCTGTCCCTCAGTTTGTAAAAGCTGAAGTAATTGAAACTAACCTACAAATTAGTTTGGTAGATAGGTACCTAGAATGGGAGAAAAGAAACAATTTTACATAGACATTTAGGACCAAGAGGTGGGAATAAACTCTTTTTTTTTTTTTTTTTTTTTTTTTTTTTTTTTTCTGCTTTCTTGTCAGAAACCACCACTATGGTTTGTCGACAAAGCCTCGAACATCACACACAAACCAAATCAAACAAACAAACATCCATGCACCTAGCCGGGATTCGAACCCGAGACCCACTGCATGCAAAGCGAAGACACAACCGCTGAGCTGCTTGGGTCTGCGTATTCTAATATCTGCTAGTGTCTTCTATCTTGGAAAGCTTTTGGTGATAGTTCATCTATTTTGTTTCCCAGGATTAGCTAGTAGATTAGTTGCCACTTTAACACGTTGACTGCCATGTCATTTATATACAGGGTGGGGACTTTAACTGGAACTAATTCGCTAGAGCTTTCGGATAAAATATGTGGACAAAACGCAAAAACACGTCGATTTAGATTTTTTGCTTAAGATTTTTTCACATTAATTTTGTTATACAGGGTGTTCCAAGAACCGCTGTACGGTTATCAACTTAATTTTTTTAAATAGTAGCCTCTGTATATTATAACATTTCTGGATTGTGCGAAAAATTCTAGACATATTTTATTTATAATGTCATATACCCATCTTGAACTGTTTTGAAAATATTCACAGTTGAAAATTGACATTTTTGCAACTTTGACCGGCTGACGGAATTTTTAATCATGGATTAAATTCAAAAGTTAGGTGTCAAATGATAGTTTACGAAAAACCAAGATGAAAATGTATGATCGGTTTTGTTGTAAAATCAACCGTTTAGGTTTTACAGTCTGTCAAAGATACAGAAAAGTCAATTGTCAACTGTCAATATTTCCGAAATAGTTGAAGATAAGTATAGGACATTATGCTTTCCTGTCATTGATATATGAATGACAGGAAAAAAAACGTCAAAAAATGACATTACAAAGGCTAAAAACATAAACTATGGTTTATTGGGGGGATAATAACGAGTTTTAGGACAAATTTATAGGGTTTGATTTTTTGGCCCACATGGTAGCATAACCATGTTAACCATTGGCAGTCAACGTGTTAATCGCGCATCTTCTACTCCTAAAGCTGTTTCTTCTAAAGCTTCTGGTTCTTGAAACTTTCAATTCTTCTACTGCTTCTGGAAAAAAGGTTCCTTGGATATAGCTAATTGGTAACTTGTTATGGGAACCTTCTTCAGATGAAGAGTTTATCAGAGGCGTCAGAAGGAAGAGAAACCTCTAGAACCAATGCCAAAAGCTTTAGAAGAGGCTATTGAAATAGCATGAGAGATATGTGCAAAGAGCTAAAAAAGATATAGGGGACGTTAGAAAGAACTAGCCGCGTTATAGGCATGAAATAACATACTGGAGGCAATGGAATGCCAAAGGAAACGAAATAGAGGACAACTACCTACCAATGCAATAACATGAAATCAACATGGTTGAACTAGACTGAACACCTAACGTTTAGAAGTAGACTCTAGAAAATACGATTAAGATAATGAGAATATAAAAGTCCTTGGCCCATTAACGAACAGATTTTCAATTCCTGGTTAGTTTGGGCTATCAGCGGTATGCAAAAAGGACCAAAAGCTGACACAACGCGAATTCTGCATGAATAAGCGGCATCACGCTTCAAAGAAGGAACGTTGTATTAGGTGACCTTTTTTTTGATTGAACAATTTGCCGACTTGCCGAAAAGATAAAAATCGGTCGACCACAACATATAGAGACACAATGTAAATAAAATGCTTATTCCGGAAAACATAACTAAATCTACGATTATTTTAAGGCACAAATGGAAATTGGTTTATTTCCTAAATTTTACCGTTTGCTTTGATTTTTTGAGAGTTGCAACTGCAAAAAGTCTTGGATCTTCATATTGGGTTGGTTTTGATTTTGACTGCGCAACTCCAACCCCCAAACAAGATTCAAAAAACCTTTCCCACTGATTTATCCACAATTTGCCTGGTACTTTTCCACCCCTCTCGGGAATCAAATCCTTTATTATGCTCTTTTTGTTGCTATCCTGTTGGAATGTTTTTCAATATTGCTCTAAATAGGTATAGAAAAAATCCTCGTTTTACATCAAAAACATGCCAGAAACATTCGCCCTAGAAAATGCGCCGTCAAATACAAACAACGAGAGAGTTTAGCATCCAAAACTCGAGCACGACAACGTCGTGGCTTTAAATCGGCGCCCCTACACTACCCTCAAAGCAAACTCAAATAAACCAAAGTGTGCAGTTTCTTTAATAAAACACCTTCTTGGGGAGGCACTTTGTGCCGTTCAGCGAGAATCTTAGAGCCGCACGTGTAGTTTATGTCGTAATATAAAATGGACGCTCCCTTTCGACATATAGGCAATAAAGTTGAATTAATTTAAGAAGCTTTGCTTAGTTACAATTTTTGTATTAGATTTAATACAAGTATTACAATATGGGAAAATCCTTTATCCCGTTATTTGTATTTTACAAACTCTTACGTCTGGTTACTCTTTAATTTTCTAGAAATCGAATGCCTTTTGTCGGCAAAATTAAATTTGACACAAAAATCTTCCAGTTCTCGAGAAAAATACGGCCAGGTATAAGATTTCTCTGTTGCATGCAAACAAAAAGTCGGTATAGGACCAGCTGGAAGGTATACCATCAGAAAAAGGTTACTCCTTTGCCCTCGCTTTTCTTAAATAAAAGACCCATAACCCAGATGGTCTTGTTGAGGATGTTTATTTTTTGGTTGGTAACTTTTTTTTTTTGGGTTAAAAACTGTATAGTGTATAGTATCATTATGAGAACCAAAAATTGAATGGTATATGATGAAATTTATTAAAAGTGTTATTGATGTTGATCATCCAAAAGGGTGTTTGTCGTTTTAAAGGCAAAACCCCAAAATATTCTGAAATAATGTCTGTTTTTTAGCATGGATGTTTTTCAACCATTAAGTTATGAATATAATATATAAAACAACTCATCTATCAAAGTATTTCTTGTATTGGGGTGGTTTAAAACTATGGGGGCCATAATTTGTCCCTTAACATCTTTCTCTACCCAGGTGTAGGTGTATGAAAGTTGAGTCTGAAGACGTTACCGCTATCGACAAGCAACAATAAGGCTATAGAGAAGAGTTTTTTTTTCTTCAAGGTTTTCGATTTAATCAGCATTCATCTTGTTTGATCAAAGTCAATACCTTGTAGGGGATTCGTTGCTTGTAGAGTGGGGGATGAATTTGCAGAAGGTAAAAGGTGTAAACTTATTTCAATGCCTCACTATCTGATTTGTGATAGCAATACTCCAAGACCCTCCAACACCAGGCAGTTAAAAACAGAGCTGTTACAAGTACATTACTAAAGTACTTGGAGTACAAGTACAAAGTATTCAAGGTTTTGTAGAAGTTATTGAAGTACAAAGTACATATTTTTTCTCAAATGTACTCCAATTACCAAGTACCTACTTGTATATGCTTGAATTTTCCAGAGTTCTTAATTTGAAGTACAATTGAAGTATTTCAAGTACTCGTATTTCAAGTACTTGTACTTCAAACGTCTTTATCATAAATATGAAACATACAATGACAATTTTTTCATTTATTATTTTTCTTGGAACGTTTGTCAAAAATTAACCAACAACCCAACAAGCAGCCTCTAATGTCTGTGTTACTTAAAATAAAAATTAATAAAAAC